ACCCTGGCCATACAGCCCCTGGGCCTGCTGGCACGCAGCCTGCAGGTGCGGCACGCTCGCCCTCGCGCGCGTTTGTACGTGCGTGTGCGCGCGCGTAATAAACCGGTGCAAATAGCACTGTGCTGGCTGGTGAGGGCACTCGCAATTTGCTGTCGAGCAGAACCGGTTGAACGCCCTGGCTCCCGTGCCCCAACTGCCCCAACAGCACGACATGTCATCAACCCTGCCTTCTATCAAAACCCTTCCTCCCTCTCCCACCCCCACCCCACCCCTCCAAACCAGGGTCAGAATGAGCTATGGATGGCGTTGGCCCTGAGCCACCCCGCTGTTCTGTCCCTCAGCGCCCCCCAGCTGGCAGCCTACATAGCGGCCCTGGTGTGCTGCGAGGTCATACGCAGGCCCATGAGCGTGTGGACGCCCTACCAGGTGCGGCCGTGGGGCTGTGGGCATCGGGGTAGTGCGCCTCCATCTGCCCCAGGAGGCCGCATATGTGCAGGGTCCAAGGCAGGCTTTCAAGGCATGCTGGTCCCGTGTAACCCCAGGGGCATTGTTTACGCACCAATGTCGGCACGTGACACAACTCTGTGGACATGAGAAGCCATTGATCCACCCCCCCCCCCTTTGAACACCCGTTTGCCATCCCCAGGTGTCCCCTGAGGTGCTGACGGCCATAGAGGAGCTGGAGCCGGCCCGGGAGGCCCTCTTTGAGGCGCAGACCGCCGCGGGCATGATCCGCTGGAATGAGTCGCTGCTGGTGGACCTGCGCTTTGCAGGTGATGGGGGGGGGGCGGGGGCGGAGTGGCTCACGGGCACCTTGGCTGTGCTGGGTGACTCGCCCTGCCTGGGGTCCAGTGGGGCGCCCCGTGGTAGCCCGGGCTGTGTGTGCTTTCTTGCAGTGTGCACACGGGGCCCCCATTCAACGACTCCTGGACACCCCAACCCCCAGGCATCGTGGAGGCGTGGGCGTCTGGCGCCAGCTGGGCGGACGTGATGGGCGGCGTTGACCTGGACGACGGCGACATGGCCCGCCTGCTGGCGCGCACCGTGGACGTCCTGCGGCAGGCCATCTTCCTGGAGCACCTGCTGCCCTACATCGTGCCGCCCGCGCGCGAGGCCGTGCGCGCAATGGACCGGCCGCCCATCAGCGACCTCACGCTGTGAGGGGCGCGCGCCCCCGGCGGCATGGCCGCGGCCTGCCTGGCAGCATTTGTATCCGCATCGAGGAGGCGCCTGAGCGACAGATTTTACTCACTGCAGGCCTCTTTGTGTCAATCAAACGCTGACAACACTGCGATATGCTTTGAATTCGGGTCGATGGCGACCCGATCTGTGTGGCGCTGAAACATGCGCTGCACATCACCTGTAGAAACGGATTGCTCCACAGCTGCTGCAATGGTAGTTGGCACTTCACGCTCTTGATTTGAGTGCCGCCCCGGCTTCATGCAGCAAACGGCACCCACTCAGACATTTCTGGGTCGGAAACTGCCCGGTAATGTAACACACGCCCAGGTCTCTCAGCACGTGAACCACGCTTCAGAGGGATCTGCTATTAATGTTGTCTATTAGGCGGTGGAGGCAGATGCAAAGCTTGAGGATATTTTTCACAGCGATTTACACAAGCAGCTGGCGAGCAGTTGACAACGGTCCACCGCCTTGAGCAATGCTGCATGCCCTTCGGCACTAGTACTTGTGTGCCCCTTTGAGCGGCGGAGCAGCGTCGCTGACGATGCGCGTGCCAAGCAGCCTGAAGCGAAACACAGCTGCCTCGAACCGCGACGCTAGCCACCAGAGTGCCGTAAATGTGGCAATGAACTGCACCCAGCCCCACTTGAGGCTCTCCGCCAGCGATGGCCTGTTGTGTGTGTGTGTGTGTGTGTGTGTGTGTGTGCGTGTGCGTGTGTGCGTGCGTGCGTGCGTGCGTGCGTGTG